TAAAAAGTTCAATTCATGTAGATTCCTGTTGTTTCTCGTGTTATTTTACTTGTTTATGAATCTGCAAACTATAATTAGTCTAGGCAATGATATTATTATACATGTGTTCTTTTGCACAAATCCCACCATCCATATTTCTATACAGTGCATAGACATTATAGTACCTGGAAAATGTGCATTCGCAGTGAGTCACACCATCACCATAGTCAACCATTTATGAGTTAAAAACACATGTAACACGTTATGGCTGTACACCTTTACAATAAAACCTTTCATATTAATAGTAGGTCATTCATCTTACAATCATTAATTTACACGCATTAGAACAAATTGATATATCAAACACATTTCATATCTTATTTGGGATATCTTTAGGAACCGTGTTGGGTTCTATCCAGTACATAACTCCCAGGTAGAAAGCATGGCCTTCCATTACTAGTTGTATTGATTTCAAGCTTTCGTATACCAGTTTTTTTGATGACTGTAACTTTAAACTGATTACATCTTATAATAAAAATGAAACGGGCTTAAACGAACTACTTTTTTGTATGATACTGTCATTTTACGTGCAAGCTAAAATGCCCACGGGACCGTGCTTGTAAGCCACTTCCGAGAGACATGACGCTGTTTCTTGTCAGGAATATTTTCCCTCATAGCATGCTTTAGATGGCATTTGCATGTCTTCATTAAACTGTTTGGTAATTATGTAATACAATATCATTTGGGATCTAAATTTCAATATTGTATTCTTAATTCATATTTTATTTGTAACTCAATTTTAGACATATATTAAGTGACAGATTAATTGTAAGATTTAATCTATATCAGGTGTAGGTTGTTGAAATAATATTATGTAAGATTTAATGGATTGTACAAACATGTATACTTGGAGTGTCTATATGATATAAGATTCAGGCTTAACACGTATTGACACCTTTTGTCTTGAGCTAAGATGTGTGAATCTTATAATTACTTTTCATTGTTCTGATTACGAATGGTATTAACTATGGCGTGCCTTAACCGATATAAAAAGCCTAGTTTACAAGCAGGCAGGGAAGGGTACAAAGGAGGGACAAGAGAGGCCCGTAGAGGCTGAGAGGTATCCCGGACCTCGGGAGAGGGTCTGCCCTTGACACCAGGCAGAGGGGTCCTGTGAGGCCGAGGGGAAGCAGCTATAGCTAGACGTAACTTCACCCAACCAAATGATGTTATTATGTACCTGTAAATATGTTGTCCAGTATTAAAATATCTTTTTAACAAATAAGAGTTATGTATTATATCACATACACTTAAGTGGTGCCGTGATTCCTGAACATGTGGTTGTATCACAATTATAATGAAATAGGACTATTCATATACGAAGCCTTAAAAAGGAACCGACTCTGTCTAAATAACCAATCTCTATATGGACCTAAATACTGTTCGAGTTTCTGACGACGTTATAGTTTGTAACTGAACATCTAAATGTTTCGTTGGTGTGTATATTTCTAGAAACACGTTACTAACTTATTAACAACTTTACCAGTTGCCCAATGCTATATAAATATTAGTGGTCTATATTATTTATAACAGGTTACATTAAAGATGCATTATGTATGAGCTAAATCTACCAATTGCAGGGCCTTTCTTTTGGCTTCAAGTTTTATATTAATTATTTATTAGATATGTCTAGACATGACAAACCTACAATCAACTCAATATGACCGTGAATTAAATGGATATGAACATCCGCGAGATTATCGTTGCTACCACAATATCCGATCTACGCAAAATAATAAAGTAGCTTATAATTGTGCCCAGAATAAAATATGTTGAATGAATTTGTCAATATTTTCAATGTTTCATTATCTATTTTGAGTCATTATAGAAAGAATGGTCAGCTCTGTATCTAAATTGTACATAATGCAACTTTAACATAAATAATTTAAAACTGTCGGTGGTGATACTATTGCAGTGAATGCACTTTTCAATCAAAATCTTACAGTGTAATTATGTTTGTTTGCCTTCAACCTTGTCTGTCAGCATATAATACATGGCATTATGTTTTTATCGACAAGGCCAATGTGGGTGAATGCGGTTATTTTTTCAATACACCACTCTGTGTGACCGTAAGGTCGCTCGTCTGAATATAACCTAACCAATTAACATAAATACCTTTCATTTTCTTTTATTGAGAAGATCAAAGTTGACATGTCTTTGTTCGTTTTGTCTAAAGATATTTAGCAGTATTTATCGCGGAGAATGCATACTTTAATATGAATAAAAATATGAGTTTCAACGAATCGTACATTCCCGGAGAATATAAATTACGTTGAACTTGAAAATCCCCGAAAATAGATCTAAGTTTAATATGTGACAACAAATTGAGTCGGAATGCGCAAAGTCTAATAATGAGCTACAGACGAAACAAGTGAACATATTAATTTTGATCGATTGGGATAGTTTCCTGTCGATGGATGAATTAGTATGAGTATCTTTCAATCCAAATATATCATCAAATCACACAGTCTGTACGTGAGAAGGCATCATTAACATCCCTAGAATCATCTTACATAAATATGGTCCCAATTCAAATTTACAATAAATATTATGATTAATATGCTATAATATGAATACATAAAATATTCATCAAAACACTAAACACAAATAAACATAAAATAAAGCAGTAGGGTCGCCTGTCCACCCTCGTGGTGGGTTTTCTCCGGTTCCCCCGGTTTCCTCCCATTGCTAAAGACCTCTAAGCGCAATCGAATTATTGAAATAAAATTGAATAATATGTTATTCCCGAAATGACCTAGTTTGTGTCGAGTGGACGCTAAACTCCATCTCTCTCTCTCTCTCTCTCTCTCTCTCTCTCTCGTCTTTACATCATATTCGCCATTTTGTTGTTTTTTTTACAGATCAAAGACTACGATGTTCTTTATAGTTTTATATATAAAGCTTGAAAAACATAAACTCATTTATATCAACATTAACGAATGACTATTATTCATCAGTAGATTACTCACATAGAGTGTAATTAGGGTTTCACCATGTTACGATTACGTGATAAAGACAAGAGAAGCCTAGTCGAGACGTCGCTTATTAATAAATAGTAATTGTAATCCATATAATTCTATATTCAAGTTCCATTACTAAATGCTATTGAATCAATTTATTTTTGATAAGATTACTATTCTTCTTATTATTTTTTTAATCCTCTTTGATCATATCTCGGAAACTACTTGTCGGATGTCTTCGCTTTTACTGGAAAAGTGGGTGTGACTTGAACGTTCTGCGACAAATCTAAATGTTCAAATATTTGCCGTAATATTAACATTTAAAACAGATTGACATAACAGTAGACAGGACACACAGCTACGTTACTTTAGATGTTTGATTTTTGACGAATCTTTGCAGATATTAGGTGTCACATATTGACAAAAAACTATTTTATGTATTTTACCTATAAAGGGTCATCTGACTTACGCAAAAACGTGAACAATTTTCGTCGCAATGGTTTTCCTTAGACGCCATCGGCCAAGTCAGTTTATGGATTCTAGGTTAATTATGTATTGCTTTATTTGGATAAAATACATTTTATATGCTACATGGTTCTCAATTTTTAGTATTGCCGATAACGGTTGTCGGCACCGGAAGTGACGCTATTGTGTCCAAAACTAAAATTTTCAAAAGCATATATTCATCTTTACAAATCCGATTGATCAAGATGAATGTCTCTACTAAAGGGGCAAATATGTAATTTAGGTTTTGTATTTGCGTCATATTGATTTAAAGGCGATAAAAGGAGTAAAAATTAGCCATTTACAATGCATTCAGGCTTTTCATATTTTAAATATTTCTTTATATCTGTCATAAACTTGTAACATTAATCTATACGAAGACAATCTATGTCCAAACATGATATCTGATTACAATCAACAAATAGAATGCGATCATTAAGATACCAATAATTAGTGTTTTTGAGAAGAAATAGATACTTTTCTACAAGCCACTTTTTCAAGATTTTTGGTGTATAAAAGTGAAAAAATGCTATTCGATTTTAATACAAATTTCATAACACTAATTTAACATTTTCGTTATCATCGGAAGTAATACCCTTTCGGCAAAAACTGTAATGTTTAGCTTCCAAAACAAATACATTTTATAAGTTAGTGATATTCATTATTCGTATCAAATTATGATATTTGATTCCCAGGGACAAAGATAGTGAATCAATACGATCTAACACCTTCCCGTGCCGAGCAATAACCCATTTTATCGTAATCACATTTTTAAGATGTTCCACATGTCAAACAGGCTTTATAAAGAGTTAATGCAGTTTTTAACTTTCAGTTTTTCAGTTGTTATTTCTCTAATAAATATCGTATCGAGTCTTCCTTTTCTGTAGTGTTTTGTGTGACATTTGTAACATATAAAAATAAAACTGATATTACTTGGTTTATCGGATAAGTCCATTTTATAGCACGTGTGTAATTATGGGGAAATCTAATTAACCAGTGAAACCCATCATCGCTGCATCGCAGTTCTAGCTTTACTTTTACTAACATAAGCCCATATACGTATGAAAAAGAGTATTGTTCAAGTATAAAATATATACGGGAATTATTAAAATAATGACAAACACATACTTTCATATACAAAACAAATATTTGCATGTTTTATTTAAGCATACAGCAATTTCAACAACATTAAGTTATTAGTTTAAAAACAAAGATACATTATTTAAAACAAGTGATCGATTTAAATTAAGAAATAGTAAAATGTATGTATATACAGACTATGCATCAACTGCGAATAAAACGAATCCCTTTTTCACAACAAATATGACTAGCAAAGTAAAAATATATATAATTGATAAAAAATAAATAATCACAGCAAACTTTTTAAACCACTGATATTAAAAATATAAGCAAATATTTATATTAACTATAAATATAATTAATTTGATGCAAAGCAAACAAATAATATATATCAAAAATCAAAGATTAGTTAAATAATTATTAAGCGTTACAAGACACACAATATATACATTCATTGTACTCAATTGGGTATTAACTCTATGGCATGTTAGAAGTTAAATAAATGAAGAAAAATACAACTGAAACTAAATAAACAAATGTACATTCGAAGATGGTCTAAAAGTCTGATTTAATGTGAGAATCGTTACATGTGACAATCGAATCTAGATCGTTGAGGGTCGTTTTTTCACAAACATTACGTCTTCTCCTCTACTGGAATTAGGAGAAAGGGCATGCTCCCCATTGTCTGATCTCGTACATGGTGGTAGCGATATATAACTGAGTACATCACTGTTCGCGGTATATTTGTTCAGAGCATTGTAAGGGTTAGAACCAAGTGTCGATGTATCATCATCATCACCAACATCATCAACATCATCATCGGCTGTCTGGACATCATCTATATTGGTTACCGAAGTATCATCAACATTTGTCTCTTGGACATCATCGCCTTGGTTAATGTTACTTGTTCCAGGATTCTGTAGTGACATATACAAGTTTTTACTGGTATCAATATTATCTCTGTTGATTGGATCGTAAGGATTAGCATATGCATCTGTATCGTTAGAAGCAGTAGACTCGGCATTGGTTGTAGTAGAATCACGGTTGGCATGGAATATAACAACACTGTTTAGTGAAATGTAGGAATGTCTCATATTATTCGCTGGATTGCTGCTGGCATTTACCACTCTTTTAGTTTTACGCGTATAACCTGTGATAAAATAGTTCATTATACAAAATATTTTCGTATCGTATCGTTTCGTCGAAACTGCCATTAGTTCATGTTTTTTTTTTATTTTTACAAATTGATATACATATATATATTTTTTCGTATATCGAAGAATACACCCTTCATGTAATACATGTCCATTTATATCCGGAGAGTGTTAAGCATAAATACATTACTAATTGTTATAAAGCATGTGTTAAAGTGTGTGCATGCTGAGAATGAACAGCACACATTACATTGAGCACTTACCATAAATAACTAATCCTAATCCTACAAGGGCACAAATAAATACGGCTACTATGGGCAACGCGGTCATCATCACCAGGTTGAGCTCAAGCAATGCCCCACTCTCTATATCTACAATAATAATACAATAATAATACAAGATAGTACCAAGTACCATCGATCCATATAAACTACAATGATATCATAAAGTCCATTAATACAGGAAAGTATTACTAGGAGGTAAGATCAATAAAATACATGATACCTGTTTATAGTGCGATTTGGCTTCTATCTTAAATCCAAAAACATCAAGAGAATGGTGTATCTAACAAGCTGTACCGGACAGTGACTTAACAATTATGTTAACCCAGTACCCACTATTGATTACCAATTCGGGGGACTTTTAATGTCTGGTCAACACAGTACTTATGAGACCAACATATGGAAATTGTTATGTCGTTATAATTAAGTGTGTAATGCAAGAAGGAATATTTTGTTCCAAAACATACTTTTCCATCTACTGCCAATGATTATTTAATATATATACTCCAATGTATCTTGATGGACATCAGTGTTTCGTCAAATCCTCACCAGAGAATTCATAGGGGTTTAAATATTCTAAAGGTTCTGTTCTTGGCCCATAGTTTGAATATAATTGTATTTTACTGACCTGTATCACGTATTAATATTAATTCAATTGCTGTCAAGTTCCTACTTATATCTTCAAAGATGACTTCACATATATAGGTAGAATTATAATCTTTCGCATCCGTATTTAATATAACCAGAGTTATCTCCTCTTTGCCTTCTACTGTACTCTGGTAAAATACTGCACGATTATTACCTATTGGTTGGTAGCCCTGATTCTTGGCCCAGCGTCCAATCAGGAACTACAAAATGTAATGCGAAAAAATAGTTTCTTCCTATTTTGATGTTTATGTTTTTTTTATTAGAAGTATTAATACGCTTCGCATAAATTCATGGATTGCTCTTTTAAGACTACAGTGTAAATGTTAAGGTATACACGTGAAATATTTTTGAATAAAATAAAAATATACTACACGTATACAACCCATGAATGTCTTGTCTTGATCAGTCGGTGAGCATATACTTATTCCAATATACGCAACATTCATGTTGAATGCTGCTGTTAGAACTGCTGGGATTGAGTTAGCTCGAGTTACAAATACCAATTAATATTTAAATCTATCCAACAGGGGGTACTTACCGATTGCCCAGAACTATTTATGCGGAAGAATCTAATATCAGTGGCTTCAGGACAATAGGTATATGTCCAATGTAGAATAATATCATCCCCTAATTTTCCATGTAAATGATTGGCAACTGTCTCTAATCTTGGACCTGCAAGTATAATAGAACAAAGTCGTTTTGTCATACCAAGTTTGTTTTTACTTGTTTGCCAACTCAGTTAAATAATAATAATAATAATAATAACGAAATTTATATTGCGCAACTATTCATTCCACTTGGGGGTGGTCTAGGCGCATGAAAGTGTTTACATGGGTCAATTATAGTGCCTAAACAGTCAGGTTTTCACATTTGATTTGAAGATAGACAATGTTTCACATTTTCGAATGGAAGGTGGTAGCGAATTCCATAGAGTTGATGCATTATACTGAAAAGTCCTTGAACCAAATTTCTTCATCTTATAAACCGGTACATCTAACAATAATTTATTCTCGGATCTTAGTGACCGTTTTGGTTGGTAGTGTGTCAAGAGATTCTGAAGATATATTGGTGCTGTTTTATGTAATGTTTTGTATGTCAAAGTTAAAATTTTAAAGTTAATTCTCTCGCGCACTCGGAGCCAGTGAAGATTTTTTAAGATGGGAGTAATGTGTGATTTTGATCTAGCTTTAGTCACAATAAACAGAATACACATCAATAACATGTTTGATTAGGCTAAAGATAACCAATTGGCATCCAGCGTGCATCATCAATTTGTGGTCATGAACGCCCAACTCCTGTCTGAAAGTAAAACCTGTGCACAAGAGAAGATGAGAACTCGAGTTCATTAAATACAACAAACGAAAAAGAACACACTACAAACCTCGATCACATAATAGCTTAGTCTCATCATAACCAGCCACACCATCAATAAAGGTAATTTTACAGCCATATATTGTATTAAAATCATCAGCAGTTGTATTTGTTATCGTTAGAGTTATCGCCTGTCCAAATGATAAAAATGTGTTACTAAACTGGAGCCTATCGTCCCCTATATAGGAATAAAATCTGGTTCCATTCCAATAACCAACCTTTTGTAACTACAATATACGAAAAGAAAAATTACATCGAGTGAAACTGCCCCCCCCCCCGTCATCCCAACATCAAATTAATTACTAACATCTTTATATAACGTATGTAACAATCCAATTGTTTATCACTCTGTTTTACCTAATGTTCGGTTCCCAGCATTGCCATTCGTGCTACGATTGAAATTGTGGTTTTAATCGTGGAGTAATCGTGATGCAGCACCGCTTTCCATATCCTACCGACGATTGTGCTACAGTTGATCGTATCGAAAGGTATTCGAGCGTGTCTGCATGTACCAGATCGTGGACGCAATAGGGACAATCCTATCGTAACGCAACGCACGTCAATGGGAACCTAGAATTAGCAGAAAATACTCATGTTTGAACTTGTGTCAGTCAATTAACCAACATTAGGATCACGTTTGAACTTGTGTCAGTCAATTAACCAACATTAGGATCAAAGTTATTGTGTTCCAAAATGTGTGCCGGGCCGATTAGCCTACGCATTACCGGACTTAGTCATGATATTCAATTAATAAAAAAACACACATAGTTTAAACTTTCTTTATCAATTAAAAACAGAGTTCTTCTTGGGGCCCTAGGCGTCAGCCTGCCAAGCCTAATGAGAAATCTGACACTGACTAGAAATGATCCAAGTCGTAAATTAAATTTGACTGGACAACCTAAAACGTGTAACTGGTTATGACATTCTCTTATACCTGTCCACTGGTATATCTGTCAAATACAACGCCCGTTGCTGGAGAACTGTAATAATAGTGCCACACAAATTTAATATCTGCTGTTGGTCGTCCTATCATTTCTGGCATTTTGCTGAAAACACGTGGTACTAGAATGACACAAAATAAAAACAAAATCAATATTTTGCCGAAACATGTGAGAAACTGAGACAAATTTCGCCAGCATCTACGGAATTGTCACGAAAATAAAAACAGCTTCGCATTTTCCATGAACTATAACTAATTAATATATGTAGTACACACCTTTATCAAATAAATCACGAAATGATTCTAGGGTTGAACAATTGACCAATCGACTTTGATATTCTAAACTATCAGTGGAAAATAACAGCTTTCGTAATGTTGTAAAACTATACATGCAGATCAGCCTATATTACGTCAGTTTGGACTTATTATAGTTATGAAGAAACAACTTTGTTATCTTTCTTACCTTCAATAAGTGAAACGGGCTCAGCATATCTGACACAGTTTGGGGTAAATTGTATTTTCATGTTATAAATATAGTAGAAGTCATCAATAGTTGTATTATGTATGGTTAACATCACCATTTCTGTACGACCATCATCACTCTGAGTTATGTCAATCTCCATTCTTGGGTGGTGTCTGTTATACTGGAAGATGTCGTGTTCCAATTTACCCAGAACTCAACCTGTATCTATGTTACATGTAAAATAGAGTTGAAAGTCAATGCAAACAATCAACAATTGATCTACAGTTATTGCTATGAACTATGTAAAAATGAGAAAACATTGTATAATGCTAATGCTTAGGACAAAAGTGATGACTTATGGCAAAGCTGATAGAAATGTAGCCCGAAATAGGATTATTCTCAGATTACGTAAATTTATTATGAACATTATATTACATTGAAATACATTCATTCTGAGCAAAGTTATAAATGTTTCAAGTTTTGACACGAAATATACCTAAATTGACAGTACATATTCTCGATTATCAACTACTATTGCCACAATAATAAACGTAGTCTCGATTTCCAGTGCTTCAATCAACAGTCATAGCGTAAAAATGACGGATACTGTCTAATTCATCTAGAGAGTTGACATGTGCCTGCCACGTGAATAACTCTCTTCAAAGTTTAATTTACATAACATGTGAAGCCTGAGAAAAACCGCAACAGGCAGATTTAGCTCTGACATACCCCCTTATTAACCAATATGAATAATATAAATATTATAAATAATTCAACTTACAGAATCCTGGGTTAAATTTACTCTTCTAACGACTGAAATATGTTTATCCATATTATAAGTAAGATATTCCCACATCATTGTTACGTCATCTCCAACAGACAGACCTAGAAAGTTTGTAGTGTTCAACAAGCTAATATCTGTAAATAGAATTAAGGTATTGCAGTCGATGATAACAAATACAAAAAGTATAAATAAAATCAGGAACATTTTAAAAAAATATTTCAAAGAAAGATTATTTTGAATATAAAAAAAAAATGACACAGATGAAAAGTTTGTTTTATTTATGGACGATATTATTTTGTGTTTATGAATTAGATTACAGCTAAAATTACTGTTGGAACATGCATGAATAAACTATGCCTGTATTTAATACAACCAATTGATCGTGTTGACTCTTCCTGTTTACAATCACTTTTATGTCAATTACACGCTTTAAAACAGGTTTAAAGTTTACAAAGAGCAAATAGACAGATGTTATAATTAATATCATCGTGTTTTCCTGAAGACGTAAGTATCCTCTGCTAAGAATGGTACACCTTTCAAGTTATGAACAAGGCGCTTAACCCACTATTAATTGAAGTAGAATTTAAATTGTGTCTTGTCTGAAGCTTACCAGAATAATTGGACGTTAAACCCCATTTCATATCATTTTGTCTGAAGCTTAGGATCTACCGAATAACACACTTGTTATTGCTTGTGCAATTCATTGTCTTGCCAATTGTGTTAGCAATTCGTATCACTTGGCCAATTTACGCCATCAATTAACACAAATCAGTATCCATGCCTTATTTTGTTATATTTGATTATATACATATATAAAAAGGTACAGGGGCGGGGGGAAGTACATAGTCTGTGTCCCAGTCCCATTCAGATATCCTGTATAAATATATTGTTTAATAACAAAAACGATTAGGTTACCAGAGGGCAGGTTCGTAAGAGTCTCCAGAAATCGAAAACTATTAAACTGGAACCGACCGCGGAAGTAAACAACTCAGGTATCAGTACTGCGGAGGTCAATTGTTTGGCCCGTACAACACAAAACTAACAATTAACCACATATACCTTATTAATTTTAAAGGGGGTTAAAAAGATTGGTGGCACGGACAGTACCCATGACTTATAACCAAAAATGGATTACATCAGCACGTAACCAAACAAATACAAATTACTTGATCCTACTTTCATCCCACGTACCAAAATCACTTACCCACCCATCCAAGACAGATCAACTATCAGTATTTACCCACTCAACCAAGGCAGATGAACTACAAGTATTTGCCACCCATCTAAGACAGATCAACTATCAATATTTACCCACCCAACCAAGGCAGATGAACTACCAGGATTTACCCACTCATCCAAGGCAGATGAACTACCAGTATTTACCACCCATCCAAGACAGATCATCTATCAGTATTTACCTGTGACTGTCAGGTGAATATCTGCTATCTCTTCAAATTGAATATCCTTACATCTATACACCAGCATCTGTCATGTTGATGTTGTTTATGGTGAGATATTGTAGTTCATTGATCTGACTTAACTGATACTTCTCACTATTATTTAACATGACGTCTTTAATATGTGCTCGTCCAGAAACCTTGAAAACAATATTTACATTTCTGTAATCTACAAAGGTGTATATAAAGAAAAATTACATCGGGTTTAAAGTTGTAGTGGATGGAAATCGGATTATCTGCATAAAAGACAAGCGGAAGATGATAATTGCAGTGGGTACATCTTTTGGGATTGAATCCACGGCTTTCATACATAATAGACTATGATTCACTGCGGTACGTGTTACTTGGCCAATGAAAAGTACACCACATACATCAAAGAAGAAATATATTTTATTCATCTTTCTATGTAGAGTGTCCTTTTTATGACTTTGATCTAACTTTAAACAACTACATAATAGAGGTCAAAATGAACACAATTGTGTTCATAATCTAAAACTAACCTCATGTATTTTCTCGCTGTTACTCCAGAAAATCTAGCCGTCTTGTTGTGGCACTGATTTTTTTTAATGATTTTGTAGTTTTAAAGTTAGAACTAAATTGCGATTTGTTTCCCGAATAAAACGGCAATTGTTGGTTTTAGTTAACTATCCTGTTTATGAGGTTTACATGATTACATAAGTATGTCATTATCTCTCCACCCACGCTAATATTTCGCAATATAGCCCGGTTGGAGCTGAGGTGCCATTTAACAATATTGCATTCATTCATTCACTCTAATATTTGAATTATTTGTGTATAATGACAATCTATACCAACTGCTATAATCTATAACATACCTTGTATATAGAAACATCTAGATCTCCGAATAACTCCCAGGCGAGCCGGACGCTACACCCGACCACAGCACTTTCATTTTTAATAGGTTTTATCCATTCATTATCCAGAATTATCCCTTTAAGAACAAATGAAATGAAATGGGGTTCAACGTCCTACTGTTCGCTCCGATGGAGACGGGCGTATGCTATATGTATTGTGCTATAAGGGGAGTTGGCCCGGACAGCGGCGCTACTTGTATATCGAATTCTGACTGCTAATGAAACTGTTACCTGTACGCCAATGTGTAATAGGGGTTTCGTTTTTGTTTTTTTGCGTCAAATCCGAACAACTATACATTGTCTCCTGTCCTCTGCCCTGTACAGCTGATCAGGGGTAACCATCCCGGAAATTCAAGATGAACTTTGTCGACCAGCCCCGGGGTCGAACACAGGACGTCTATAGGATAAAAAGTAAAAGTCTTGCTCACCGAGCCACCGTGGTACCGTGGTTACCCCGTTTCAGAACAAAGAATATTACCTCTTTAAATTATATTATTGTTGGAATATTGTATGTTAATGATTAGATTATATTTCTAAATAAACACAAATCTCACCTTCAATAATGCACATATATATCACAAACTGGAACAGTGATTTGATGTTCATTTCGTCACCAATATCCGCATGAATCTACCTCCGTGCGATGTGCGTAATCGTTTGTGATAACTAATTAAACACAATACGGGTGACAATATAAGTAATATTAATGATTCATTCGTTCGACTAAAATGTTTTTTCTTTTTTTTAAAGTGGGTTACATGTTATTTGATGATTTAATGGGCTCTTTTGACAAGAGTATAAACAATTTTTCGCCTGTAGAGTATAAACTATTTATCGCCTGTAGAGTATAAACAATTTATCGCCTGTATAAACTATTTATCGCCTGTAGAGTATAAACTGTTTGTAGCCTATAGAAAATGGGCGTGCCGTTGTTGCAAAATTATGAACTTTAACAATGCATTCTCTGTAACAGTGCGTATGCGTGATATTTATTAAGTTTCCATAATAATAATTAGAGGGGTATTTTAAAAACAACTTCCTTTCAAATTATAAAAATGCAGCAGCACAGCCAGAATTTCTCGAGATCCATTCTCTGTGGTGGGCCTAGACGAATTGCCGCGGTCTCTGAAACCCCGTTTGGCGTCCATGTGGTGGTGACAGTGGGAGATAAGATAAAGAGATGGCAGTTCTCGCTATAATAGTTAAAAAAAAGATAGTGTAAAGGTAATTTGCTGAAAATTTCAGTCAAATTGATCCACTATGATCCGAGAACGAAGCGGGTGAAATTTTCGCATAGTATCGGTCATCATTACTAAAATCATTAATATAAACAGCATAGTCTCGATTATCCACTGTTTTGATTAAATTATCAATGGACGTTAAGCGACATATAGGGATCTAATCCAGCCAACATCGAAGGCTAGCCTTGACATCGAAAGTTTATTATGATCTGGATAATATATATTTAATGTCTAATTGATAATTTAGATAACATTTCAGGCCTAAAGAAAGACTTGTAATAAGCAGATTTTGCTCTTGCATAATGCATGTTTAACTGGGTGAAACATACCCAGATCCCTGGTGCGCAAACACCACATACGTGATAATATAAATACATATTATCAAACTGTAGTCTTAAATTGACTTTTAAACAATATTACATTGCATGAGACAAAATGCATTTTGAGAAATATAAGTTGTGTTTTGAAAATGCGGCTTATATAAATCTATGGTGCATATATGAACCACTCGGAACATAAAAGATTTTGGATAATTATTTTTAGACGTAGCACCAGCTCAATTATGGCCAATGTAGTTTTAATAAAATCGTATCTATTAATAAGTGGGTTAGTATTACTAAATAAAAAAGTCACATAATACACGGAAATTACATGCAATAAACAGCACACACAAAAGTATTATCAAATCTGGTGAAATGTTCTGGGGTCGGTGTGGATGGGGTACAACCTGAGTGAATACTTTCTAAACATTACAGTATTTTATCAATGTTTTATGGGATATTAGTTGTATTTGAAACCATCACGTATGAATAGAAATTAAATTAAATTGGGTTTAACGTCCTACTGTTCTGCACCGATTTATGAATAGAAATTCATCTTAACTCTGTAATGTGGGTTGGATTGATCCTCAAAGGAATTAAAGAGAGGTAAATAACACATTAACGACAATGATTCAGTGAACGGTATATGAATTAGGTACGTATACAATAATTTAACTTGTATCTATATTATTTATCTACTATGATGTAAATTAAATTTTACAGCGACCTAAATTAGTTGGTAGTTTATTAAGCTGCCCCCATTAATCCTTTCTGTTTATTTTACCATACGGATGTCTCGTGGCGGTTTAATTCTTATAAACTGACACCACTGATTTACGAATTTATACCTTTTACTAATGGAATTTTTTTGTCTTGAAATTGCACAAGTGAGCATTACTCTAATGTTAAGCGTTGTGATTAATTAGCAGGTACACCATATATATTGCCTGATTACTAACAAACTTTACGGACTTAATAAATATACAGTTCATCAATAAATTATATTACTTTGTGTTTTTAACAATTTTCAAGTGGTAAATAATTTAATTAAATCAACCTGTCCGTAATATCATATTTATTGTATTGGACGTTAAATCTGTAATAAACAACAACAACATAGCAACGACTCTTCGTTTGCTCGTGGGGCATAACGTATGGTGGCTTATTGGTATCATGTCGTAATGTCGTGATGTCGCCTTTCATAACGCGACAACCCGACAACCCGACATCACGACATTTCTACCCGACATTACGTCAACCCGACACCACGACATTTTTACCCGACATCACGACATTTTTACCCGACATTACGACACTAAAAATGTCGTAATGTCGGGTAAAAATGTCGTGATGTCGGGTAAAAATGTCGTGGATGTCGGGTTGTCGGGTTGTCGTGATGTCGGGTTGTCGCGTTATATCTTGACCATGTTGTACATCTCTATATTCGTTTAAAAAACAACTTAAAACACATTTATTTAATCAGGCTTTTAACTGACTCTGTATACAATCGTTAATATGTTCATAATCTTCTTGTTTATTTATGATTTTCCTAAGGCTAAGCAGAGATAAGCAATTTGATTGGTCGATGTTTTGGGACACAATAACCTTGATTCTAGCTAATTCTGAGTTTGATCATGAGCGAGAGAGAGAGAGAGAGAGAGAGAGAGAGAGAGAGAGGTTTAACGTCCACTCGACACAAACTAGGTCATTTCGGGACTAACATATGGTTCAATTTTATTTCAATAATTCGCTCGCGCGTAGGGTCTTCAGCAGTCGAAGGAAACCGGGGGACCCGGGGAAAACCCACGAGGTTAGACAGACGACCCTACTCTTTGTCATGTACAAGCTTGGGCTGGTAACCACACCACTTGACTCAATGACAGACACACAGACAAGGGCGGCTTCATAATATGTTCACATTATGAAATGAAATGGGGTTTAACGTCCTACTGTTCTGCTCCGACTGAGCTAATGAAGACGGTTCACATTATGAATGTGGACGTATACAAATGGATACGAATGCAACTCAAACTGCACTGTGAGTGTCATAGGCGTACGTGGCCGAACTTGTTTGGGGGCCAGCATATTTTCCCGACAAATATATTTCTTTAGAGTCCGCGGGCGGCGAAGCCGTCCGCCCGCGGGCGCCGGAGGCGCTAAGCGTTCGACGGGGGGTCTGGGGAGCCTCCCCCATAAAATTTTGAAAACCAGACGGCCGTAGACGCGATTTCCAGGCATTTCGAATACTTTCTAGTAATTTGGAGTGGGTAGTAAATTATGTCAGTTCCAGCATAAAAACTGGTAAAAGTCATCTTTAAAATACAAGCTCTATTACTACGAAAACAAAGAACAAGTCGAACGATTTACTTTTGCCACATTTTTCATTTTATGAGACTTCACATTTTTTTATCAGGGAAGACATAAACAGAGAGTTTATACTGCTTTTCAGATCACTTCTATCACTGGGCTCGTCCGGTGCATGGAGTTGGATGCCAGTATACAGGAACACAGTCAAGAACTGAGAAAGGCCATGTGTACGTGCTAGTTCTAATCAGATGGCGTACGTGTTCATCATTGACTGGACTGCTTTCTTTCCGCTTCCATATTATTAAAAATATTCAAAACCCGACAGACGGCGCGACGCTTCCCGACAAACTGAGCATTCATTCTCGACAAGACCATAGCCTTCCCCGACAAGGCCATACCCCTACCCCCACCCCATTTTCAACAACTCCTCGGCTAATGACCGATCTCACAGGATCTCACAATTCTGAGCTCTTTTCAGATTTCTATTTTTTTTCATGAAAATATTGGGGGGGGGGGGCGGTGCCCCCCCGCCCCCCCCCCCCCCCGCCTCGTACGCCTATGGTGAGTGTGAATCTACTTCCACTTGATCAACCATTTTCTTAATTGCCATTATTTTGTTAGGAATATCATCGTGGCCGCTTATAACATTGATCATGGAAGTCGACAACTCGACAACCCGACATCACGACAACCCGACATCACGACATTTTTACCCGACATCACGACATTTTTAGTGTCGTAATGTCGGGTAAAAATGTCGTGATGTCGGCTAGATATGTCGTGATGTCGGGTTGTCGTGTTGTCGGGTAGAAATGTCGTGATGTCGGGTTGTCGCGTTATGAAAGGCGACATTACGACATGATACCAATCAGCCACCATAATAACGTCACTTTCCACCTAATATTCCTGAAGTACACAGTATGCTTAAATCGGTACCTTTTGCAATCTATGTGCACATATTTTAATCATTATTGTGGGTCTAGAGACTTTAACATAGTTTAATACAACACTTTAACGGTAGATTCAATAGCATGAATATCAAGCCCCATACAAACCCTTTATGTAATTGAATAAAAGCCGGTGAATAATATTGTTGGTATGTGGTAGTAAGCGACTACATTGATCATACCTATGCAATCATCTTGTGTAAAAGGACTACATAGTTTACAACATTAACAAAATTGTGAGTTGTATTTATATTCCTCTATATTTCTTATAAATCTCTCTTTTATTTTACTTTACAATCAATTAATTTGAGAAAGGTGCGATGCTTCGGCTCTTCCGATTGTTGCCTCTCTCTTGCGCAAGATTGACGCGGGCGCTTTCAAAGAGTTTAGTTCTTCATTACCGGAATCGCTGTCAATCTTATCGATCGGGTAAAAAATGGACAGGGCGGATTCTTGCCAAAGAATAATGTCTAGTCGCTCAGATGCAACAAAACAAATCCAGATTCCTTGTACGTAATATAACCTTTGATAGAAAAACATATTTCCGTTGCCAATCTTTGCAAAATCCATATTGAAAATTGGTATACTTTTTTAAAAGAGATAGACTTTTCTTATAAATTTCAATTGGAAATAATTTTATTTTAATTACATTTATTGTAAATTTCAAAAGGAAATAATTATGTTTTAATTACATTTATTGTAAATTTCAAAAGGAAATAATTATGTTTTAATTACATTTATTATAAGTTAATTATATTTAATTTTCTGTGATATTTATAATAGCGATCTATGATATGAATGTTTAAAATTAGTTGTGATTTTTTAAAAATATTGAGGATTTTATAAAAAATATTTAGGATTTTCTTTTAAAAATACTGAAGATTTTTTTTAAAAAATACTGATGATTAATTTTAACATATTTTTTTATGTTTTGAATATGATTATGATTTTTTAAAAATTATTTATCGATTTGTGACAATTTAGTTTTTAAAGGGTTGAAATATATATCTTGTGATTCCAATTCACCATATGTCGGGCGCTATACATCTCGAGTCGTGCAGATGTAGGATTACAAATTATTGCCTTTATTTCATTTCATTAGAGAATATTAGAAATGTTTAATAGTTTTAAATATTAAAATAAACAGAAACCTATTATACGATACTTTGAGACACATTAACACTGGTACTAATTGGATGAAAGTGATGAAACTTTTTCCTTACACCAAGGCCTTGTACAGCCAAGCCACACTGATCAGCAGTGAATATTTGCTAGGCCGCAACAGTTACTGAGAGGGGTGGCATCGTTTTGGTTTAATTATCTCTCAATATTAGGTTGAAATATTAGAAAAATAAATATAAATGGATAACAAATATCTTATTTAGTGTAAATGGGTATATAAAATAAGTACAAGGTATCATTCGGTCTGGACCAGTTTAAATTAGGACGTCTTATGTAAACAATGCACGCGCCATCCAGCCCATGATCGCAGCCGTGAGATGTGATGTCACATATAAAAGGCATTTGCACTTCTCAGTCATCTTACACAGATTTATAAGACGGCTTTTGCAATACCCATGTGAAACAGATAGAAGTCAGTATAGAAAAGATTTCTTATAAATCGATGTTTCACAAAAAGTTAAACGTGCAATTGAGTCTTCAAAATTTGCATTATATTTTCTATAAATTAAATGTTAACTCGCTAAATTACAAGATTTGCATAAATTACAAGATTCGCATCACAACAGCCAACGAGGAAGTATGTCACTCCGAGCCAATCAACATCCCTACCGCACATTAAAATATAAAAACAAGACACATTCCATATTTCCGAGACAGGCCCCGATCAGTCCGTTGTAGCTGGAATCCCAGTGCTACAATCACACAACCTGTACATCATAAACCAATGCATCTCGCAACACATTTTGAAAAGATAATGTTTATTTTGTATACAGGCTTACCAAAATTACAGCTCAATGAATGTTTACGAATTTTTGGTTTGTCTGCTTGCTACAATAGTAAAAGGTAAATAATTAGGCATAATGTTAATACACGTCAGGTCCGAAAACAATACACCGTGTTTACGGTTACTTGGACCAAGAAAAAAATGATTGGTCGATCGGAAATTTTGTTTGTAGGGTTTATGGGATTAGATTTGATAGAAGTTACTGAACTAATGTATTTTTATAACCCACATTTATACTTGTTTTATATACTGTAAATTATTTATTTTCCCGTTCTTAGCATTTCTAGTGATGATTATGATTCTGGAGAATAAATACCAGTGCAGAAAAACAACGACAATGAGAAATGAAATCCAATGAAGTGGGGGTTTAACGTCCTACTGTTCTGATCTGACTGGGCTAATAACGGCGGGTAAACACCATACAGTGTGCTATGAGAACATTTTGCCCCGGCAGCGGCACTATGGCCTATTCTTATATCGAATTACAACTGTCAAAAGAATCGTACTAGACAGCTGTCCTTGCCAGGCCCTCCGTCTTACACCCCCGATAAGGGGGAGACCACGTCAGAAAATCCCGGCCGTGGCTCCCAATGAGAAAAGTAGTTGATGGTCGTTGATTTTAATATTAAAAAGTAAGGTTGGCCTTACATCAAAATTTTATAATGGCTTCTATAAGCTTGAGACACTCATTTAACCTAATGAGTTGTTTCCGGTTCACCAGGATCCTCTCATTGTCAAAACCTCTGCGCACTAGTGAATTACTAAATAAAGATATTTGTCCCGAAATGACCTCGATTATGATGAATGAACATTAAAATCTAAATGACTGCCAAAACGCTTCTTTTTTATTATGTTGGCCATTTTAAGATTTGACACAACATCAAAAGGCCGAGAGATACTAGGCATATGCATGAGTAACACTCATCTGCATTAAATATGTATTAAACCATGGAAGTAAAATGTTTATATTACGTTTTTGCAAAAATAAAAGTGGTGGTTGGGGTGGGGAGGTGGGGAATAGTATAGATAAAGCACATAAATATATATTTCATGTGTATGTATGTTTTGTTTTGTAATTTTCTGTTAATATTCAAGGACCGTATAATGTACAATAATAATGATAGTAGACCTAAATATTTCTCAACGAACGGAACACATCACATGATCATTAACGAATTAAATTAATATTTTATAAGGGAAAAACGTTATAAGTTGTTAGAACTGTTGTCTGGTCATTTTGTACTGTACGGGGTATATCTATGCACTAAAATAAGTTTAAGCTAAAAATAAACACACTTGTATGGTTATACTACTTCTGAATTTTATTGACATGCTACATTTCAATACTCACATAGCAATTAGTGTGTGGTTACTCATACAACAATTGTGTTAAAATGTTAGGGTGAATTGCCATTTATATTTGATTTAAGAAATATTTTAAATTTGATATATCTTAATCAATTCACCGTTTGTCATTTAACAATTAAGAATGAGATTTTACAGACGAGGTTGTAACAACATATATATTATAAGGTTGCAATATATAAACGTTTGAATACACCTAGGTGCAAGGATCATAAATATTCACAAAAAGCCTAATACGTAAATTGAGATACAGTTTTCGCGTGGGATCCTTTAGAAAAAGCTAAACTTAAGTAACCCCTTTCAATTCTGTTGTATTATTCAACTCTGCTTTACATTTCTTCAAAAACTTCAGCTTGCTCTGTCTTCATTCATTTGTAATAGTTTTAAGAGATTAAAGAAAACACAGGAAAATCCACGAATAAATTGCTAATAAATATAAGATCATATTAGATTATTGGGTAGATGGAGACAGAACAAATAATCATCAAAATATAACCATGAGTCGATCATATAAAATTGAAGGACTGGTGAACGGATAAATAAATGAGCAGGGGGGAAATGACGTGTTCAAAATATACTATTATGACTTGTATACTCTACCATACGTTTAATAACGTGGTCGTCTGAATACAAAGATAAGGTCAAACGAGTAACTTTAGACCGGGTGTCTTAATTATAAAGCTATACATAGAGGGACTTGTCGTATAAAAATGTAACTTTTTTATTGCAAAATATATGCTTGCGCTGCATGACCGTATCGATACGGGGTTGGGATTGGCTTGTGGTCTAGAGTCTCGCGTTTTGAGTCGTAGCTGGTAAATCCTGGTTTCGACCCCTGGTTCGAGCATACTTGGAGATGTGAGCGCCTTTTCATCTCCGTTGGTTTACTCTGGATACCCGGTTTTCTCCCTCAGGAAAGAACCCTTCGCGTGCGCTAATACAAATAAGAATTCTTATCTACGATATCACCCCATAGAAGCGGACGTTAAACGCCAAGGACGACAACAGCAACAACAATGTCGATTTGTTTGTCTTCGTATATATATATAGTTCTATTCAATTAGGCCCTCCGTCTCGATGTGAAATACAAAGACTATTTTAATTTTCATTCAGCCACGCACTCAATCTTGTTAAGATATACAAAGACTATTCTGTATATTAATCTAATTATTATTTTATGTTAAGCCTCAGAACCGACAGTAACCAGCGATGCGCGAATTATTACTGGTCAGCTTAAAGATGATGTTAAGTTTGAATGGCATTATGCATATGAGCATCCGGCAGTTGCCATTGCATTTACCCGATATTTAAGCACACCTGAGCAGGTAAGTTCAACATAAGAGATTTAAAGGAAATAGGTTAATTGGGAATATTTTTAAATGTTTGTGAGAAGTTATATAACCAATCAATGGACATAAAATATAATGTTAAAACCATGAGCCAGAATAATTACTCCAAGACATTATTCAGGGGAAGAAACTGTTCGGCAGTCACGTTTTGGGTTTGATTGAAAGAAGGTCAAGAAACGAGCACCCTTCAAACGGCGTCATATTAAGCTTTTGGGACCCCTCCAAGCCTTACAGTTATAAAGTATCTTTTATATTGAGGAAAGCTTTGGCTGACACTGGATGTTTAAGAATACGGTGATTGTAAGAAAGGCACTGGGCGTAGTTCTTTCCAGTTAATTCCACTTAGTTTGAATGATTGGATTTTCTGCGAGCACATTTTGATATTTTTAGTTCATTTATTTGTGGAATAGCCTTATAGATACATCCACTTTTTCTTATACCAAATAATTGGATTGAAAGAGGTACAAAGCTGCATAGCAAAGAATAAAAATGATCATTGGAAAGTACAGAGAGGTTAAAGGTTGATTGGGAATCGGGGTATATTTTTAAAATGTTGACTATATTCTTTGTTGTCCTCATTACTTGTGATCGAGAGAACCCCCACCCCCACCCCCATGGTATCCGTTGGTTTGTGTTTTATTTCCACAGGGGATGAGGCTGACATCTGATTTATAATATATTTGGTGTGATAACCTTATTGTTTTATTTACTTGTATGTGAAAGAGTTTAAACGTTGGATATTGGAAAGATCAGAAATTTGTGCCAGATCTAGATGACGGAGAAGACAGACTTGAGTTTGAAAAAAGAGATGTAAACAGAGGAGGAGACATAATTCTAATATTACACAATACGATCAAAGATGATTTTAGATATACATATCGATGTAAAATTTTCTTCAAAGACCGCAAATCAGAATATTCAGTCATAATATTAACAGAAAGCGGGAAGTAAACAAAATCCAAAGTGTTCTTCTATCTTACACACTAGACTGTAAGCTATTACGGGGATCATGTGAACCTTTACGGAATATAACAAAATAATTAAGAATTTTTTTTACAAAAAGGCGAAAAAAGTAAGGTTTAATAATATATTTTGAAATATGAACTGTTTCAGCATTATATAAATGCATCCTAATAAAAGTGACCAGAAACTAATCCGGAATTAGATCATTACTTGTTTTTAATTCTGGCCTTAAATTCATCTTGGCGCTAAAACCAACATGCCCTTATGTTTTTTTAATTTTTACCTAGCTTTTAATCCTGAAAATTATTTATTAAAATGGACAACGAATGTTAGTAACATACTTATTCGAAACTTTGCCTCAAGCATTTGCTAAAACATTTTGTTTAAGGAAAGACTGGGTAGTCTCAGCTACTAGAATTTTTCACAACTAAACAATCTTCCGATTAACAAAAACATAAAACGTGGGTAAGATTGAAAATATTCATTTTAAACGGGTTTCCGTTACAATTCTGTGAGTTCTCTTTATAACCCACATGGTATTTAAACACAGTAAATAACTTGAAGAATCCAGTTATTCATAACTTAAAGATAAATTATGGGAGATTAGATAAAAAGCTGACAGTTCGCACTGTAATAATTTTAAAAAATAGATAATGTAAAAGGAATTTGCTGACAATTTCATTGAAATTGATCCACTCTGAACCGTGATTTTAGCTATTGAATTTTGGGCTTAGTCTCAATAGTTACTAAAGTCGCTACGATTAAATAAAAACACATGAAAGTTGAGCAGCAAATAGGATCCTAATCCAGTAAATATCGCAGGCTAGCGTTGACATTGAGAGTTGATTATGGTCTGGATAAGTTAATTAATGTCTAATTAATAATTTAGATAACATGTCAGGCCTATTTACTATTTACGTTCAATTCACACATAAAGACAAATTTACGAAACGTAGTTGCTGGGTTTGTTTAGCAAAATAAGAAATGTTCAAAACATTTATCGGAAATGTCTGTATCACCGGTTTTAATTTATAAGTTGATCTGGAATCGACGAAAATCACAAAAAGACAATGAAATACGAAATGTTGGTGTTTATTAGACTCATTTTTCTTACACGTTATTTTATAAATATCTGATATACTTCAAGAGTTCCTCGACTCAAATTTCTTTAAGAACTGTCTATTGAATAATCTCGAAAAAGAGGTATTTTAATCAAGCTAATAAATCATACTGCACGATCGTGTTTAAAACATAGAATTTGTTAAAAATCTTCAAAATACATCTGTGAATAGAATATTCAAATAAATGAAATGAAATGAAATGTGGCTTAACGTCCTACTGTTCTGCTCCTAAACTGGGCTAATGAAGACGGGCATACACCATACAGTGTGCTATGAGGGAAATTTTGCCCGGGCAGCGGCGCTACGGCCTACTCTTATATCGAATTCCAACGGACAAGGGATCTTTTAAGTGCACGCCAATGTGTACACGGGACCTCGTTTTTTCGTCCCATCCGAAAGCTCTAAGTAGTATATTAATTATGTAATACAATATTTGCAAATGATTATTGGACGATTTCATATTAAGACCGCTTTTTGGCTGGTGAATCTGCCGGTTTTGGTCCCGATATTGATTTTAACTCATGCCAGGGGCATTCTTCTTCCAAACTGTAGGTCAAATCCATCGCGCCAGTTCGCTCTTTCTACCATGTAAGATAAATGTTACTTCTCATCCCAGGAGTTAATATCTAACAGATTTGTGTTGAACTTTTTGTTGACTACAATCATTACGCAAGGCTTGATTTATCTTGGTGCAGTCTATGAAAACACAATCTGATAAAATTTCCAAAGTATCATGCAATATTAAACAAAATTAAATATATATGATTTCCTTTTAAGGTGAAGTTGCCCCGTCTGAAGAACCCCCAATTAACGAAGATGGTTCGTTAGGTGATGTTGACGATGAAGAGACTAAGACCATTGGTGTGGTGGCTATTATTTTAGGAGTGTTGTTTTTCATCTCATTCGCACTGTTCTTTCTTTTATTAATCAGAAGTAAGTAGTTTCCATTTATGACGCTAAGACTATTATAGCCTCAAACACAAAATTTAACGTTTTATTGTGCTCTTTATCTATCTGTTTAGGTTTTGAAACTATCTGTTTAATGTTATCTTGTTTTAAATTGCATATTCTTATTACAAATGAAGCGCGTACGTACAAACTATGAAATAGATTCGATTCTTTGTTAAAGCTAGAAGTTAATCCTCCACATTTTGATTCCAATGCCACGTTTTTCATTAGAAATAGCCACACTGACCGAGGGCGCTAGATTATAAGATTCATTGTCATTGAAAGGATAAGGACCACCTTCCTTATGTCGTTAGTTTGAAATTAAAATATAAACTACGTCGTTTCAAAATAGCCTGGTTAGTGCCATGTCGATGTTTTAATTGAATAATTTATATGTCGATCCATGAGGATTATAATAGATGATCCCACATTTTGGATCATTAGTATTCCCAATCTGTAAGCACCCCCCATAACTTCTAAAATAAAACAAGCCAACAGTGAAGCTGGTCTCCCTCTCCGACATCTCAAAATAAATAAATGACACATTTTGCTTTATCGAGCCATCAAATTGATCTATGATCTTTGTCTTCGAAGTGCGAGGGACAATAGTTACCTGTTACTAAAACTGAATTGCTAAAATGCCTACATTTTGTTGGGGTTGTGAAATGAAATGAAATGGGGTTTAACGTCCTACTGTTTTGCACCGAACTGGGCTAAAGAAGACCGGTGTTGGGGTTGTCATTAAACATACTATAAAAAAGACCAAAGACTACACCTGAAGACCTAGGTGGAAGAGGACGCTAAGCCCGAAAGACACACGCCTGGTCATGAATAGGCCACCTTAAAGAAACAGATCACACATTATGTCGATCTCTGTCTTTGACATAATTCATAATAATTATCTTTACAGCTCTCTGGAATAAATGACACCATGATAAACCGTATGAAAATGTACTAAATAATGGAAATAAAGGTATAACATTTTAGTTTATAGAATTTTATTACATTTAGATTATTTTATCCGCCAATTTACTTTCCACATATCGAATAAATTTTAATAAATTTTAAGATCTATTAACATGTATAAGATGTATCGTAATATAACGGTTATAATGCACGTGCACTTAACGATATGTACTTTTTGGATAATATCCCTTTCCCAATGTATTAGAAATTGATTTGTAATGGTATTATTTCTTTACAGCACGGGATGAGGAATTCGTACTGCAGGCTGCAAAAACAAGCCTTATAGAAAACAAAGGTAAAGATATGATTTGTTTTAAAACAAACGGAACAAAATGAAATGAAATGAAATATGGTTTTATGGCACGTCAGCTCCAACTGGGCTATATTGCGCCAAACATATGGTGGTTCTTTCGAGACAGGCTAAATCTTATCACAAGATTTTATATGCATAAATAAAAACAATATCACAGTATATCAAATTTAAAAATAAAAACAATCTTTTATGCTTATAAACATTTAAAATATGAAATATTACATATAGATATATATATATATATATATATATATATATATACAAATTAAAATTTATAATAAAAACCTGTCTCTTTTAAAAAGTTTAGCATTTCACAATATAACCCTGGTTGGGCAAACAAGTGATATAATGACTGGCAACGGTAATAACGTGATCTTATATGTTTGAGATGCTTGCACTCAATCAAAATGTGCTTAACTGTCAAAGGCTAAATCTTATCACAAGATTTTATATGCATAAATAAAAACAATATCACAGTATATCAAATTTAAAAATAAAAACAATCTTTTATGCTTATAAACATTTAAAATATGAAATATTACATATAGATATATATATATATATATATACAAATTAAAATTTATAATAAAAACCTGTCTCTTTTAAAAAGTTTAGCATTTCACAATATAACCCTGGTTGGGCAAACAAGTGATATAATGACTGGCAACGGTAATAACGTGATCTTATATGTTTGAGATGCTTGCACTCAATCAAAATGTGCTTAACTGTCAAAGGAACATGACAGTGTTCACATTCTGGTTGAGGTTCTCGCTTTAATATGAAAATGTGAGTTAAAAAAAAATGACCAATACAAGAGCGACACAAAACAACTTCATCCCTCCTGTTGGTTCTATAGGAGCTTGGCCAATCTCCTAAGAGAGGCTTAATGTGATGAAGTTTATTTGTGCCTGCAAGATCCCAAGACCGTTGCCAGCGGTCAAAAATAAAATGATTTATACATGATTTAAAATCTTTATATGGTATTAAAAAGGGTGATTGGGGAAGATCTAAAGCAGCTTTTGGCAGCAAAATCTGCTTTATCATTCCCCCTTATATCAACGTGACTGGGGAGCCAGCAAAATACAACGTCTTTGCTGCTCAACTAGTAAGATAGTAGCAGACGATAAACATCTGCTACTAATGGGTGTTCAAGCTGTTTATTGTTAATTGCTTGAAGCGAGGACAGAGAATCAGTAAAGATGATATGTTTTAAAGATGAAGAGGATTGTATGAACTCCAAGGCCTGGAGAATGGCCTGGAGCTCAGCTGTAAATATTGAAGCAGCAGGTGGAAGACACACAGAAATGGTCTCAGATGGTGTCACGGTAGCCGAAGCTACCCGGTCGCCATCCTTAGAACCATCTGTGTAAATAGGAGCATAATCACCATACTTAGACCTTAACTCTCTAAAGAGAGATTGGAACACCGTAGAGCTAGTATCTCTCTTTTTATGTTGAGTAAGATCGAAATCGATCTTTGGGGGAGATATAGCCCACGGTGGAGTCCTAAAGACAAGGGTATTCGCAATACTGTCAAGGCTGATACCAGCCTCAGACAAGAGGGGTTGTATGCGAATACCGAATGATGGAATAACATTAGTCTTCACCAGATATAAATGTTCATGAAGAGGTCTAAATATGGTGTTAAATGAAATGTGATTCGGAAGTGATGCAATTTACGTAGCATACTGCAGGGCCAGTTTATCACGTCTGTTGTGCATTGAGGGCTCGTGCGCCTCGACGTATAAACTGTCCACTGGAGATGTACGAAATGCTCCTAAACTGATTCTAAGTCCCTGGTTGTGTATGGTGTCGAGCTCTTTGAGATAAGACTCGTGGGCAGACCCATACACAATACACCCATAATCGAGTTTAGATCTTATTAAAGCTCGATATAATCTGCGCAAGACCTTACGGTCTGCTCCCCAGTCAGTATTTGATAAGACTCTCAATATGTTGAGGGCTTTCAGACATTTTTTTTTAGGTTTTTAATGTGGGGGATAAATGATAATTTTTTATCAAATATCAACCCCAGAAATTTGGTTTCATCCACAACTGGAAGGCGATTGCCATCCAAGAATAGTTCTGGATCGGGATGTAAACCTCGTTTCTGACAGAAATGCATGCAGACAGTCTTGGATTTCGAAAATCGAAATCCATTTTCGGTTGCCCATTGTTGAAGTGAATTCAAACAAAGCTGCAACTTACGTTCGATTATCCGCATGTCTGTAAAACCATAGCACATCTGAAAGTCATCAACATAAAGAGCGCCGTTTGTTCCTGGTTTAAGGCACGCTGGGATTGTATTAATTTTAATCGCAAAAAGAGTAGGAGATAATATGCTTCCCTGAGGAACTCCCATTTCCTGAGGAAATGGGTAAGAGAATATTGATCCCAGTCGTACCTTAAATGACCTATCTTCCAGGAAATTTTTAATGAAGATAGGTAAGCGACCTCGTAGGCCGAGGTTATGGAGGTCGCGCATGATACCATGTTTCCATGTAGTATCATAAGCTTTCTCCAGATAAAAAAAATTGCAACTAAATGTTGCTTCTGGATGAAAGCGACCCTGACGAACGTTTCAACTCGAACGAGATGATCAAGAGTGCTCCTTTGGGAACGAAATCCACATTGGAGGTCAGTAATGAGGTTGTTTGACTCAAGGTACCAAACAAGCCTTCGATTGATCAATCTCTCCATGGTTTTGCAAATGCAGCTAGTTAAAGCGATCGGACGATAGTTGGTAGGATTCGTATGATCTTTACCCGGTTTGGGGATAGGAATTACTGTGGCTTCATGCCACGAAGGAGGGAAATTCCCATCAACCCAAATCCGGTTAAAAAGATCCAGTAAAATTAAGAGAGTGGAAAAAGGTTTTTTTTTTAAAATTTGGTAGTGTATTTCATCTGGACCAGTTGCAGTATCCCGAGCTCGCTTTAGCGAATCTCGAAGCTCTGCAATGGAAAAGGTATCATTGTAGCATTCATCATTGCGGGACTTGAAATTAAGTCGCCTTTTCTCCTGTTGTTGTTTAATGCCTCTAAAGACATTGGAGGAGGAATTGGATGATGAATTAAATGAAATTGTACTGGCCAGAGAATTAGCAATATCAGGAAATGTTGTTAAGGTGGTATTATCAACATTTAGATGGTTAACTGATAATGCACTAGTTTTACCTTTAATCCTACCCCATACCGACTTAGATGTGGTACGGGAATTGATCCTTGAGACGTAACCTTGCCATGAAGATTTCTTTGCTTGACGTATGGTTCTACGAACCTTCGCCCGGACCATTTGGTATGCCGCAATATTCTCCATGGAAGGGTGGTTCTTTAGTCGTCTCAGGATACGATCACGCTCTTTCAGAGCGGATTTGCAATCTTCGTTATACCATGGTTTATTGGAACGTTTTGGTGTTGTCGGGGTTTTTGGAATCGCCTGCTCAGCTACATCTTGAAGAATTGAAGTAAATAAGGCCATGGGTTCATCTGCATCTTCTAACTCCTTTGTATCAAAAGAGAAGAGACACAAAGATTCGAAAAGAGCCCAATCAGCCTAATGCAACTTCCACCTCTGCGGTCTTTCGACCGGAGAGGGACTATTATTATCTATCAAGATTGGGAAGTGATCACTACCACACAGATCTTTATTTACCCTCCATGTAAAATCCTGAAACAGGACCGGAGAGCAAATGGTGAGATCAAGGGAAGAAAAAGAAGCTGTGGCAGGATGTAGATAAGTAGGCGAGTCATCTTTTAATAAGCACAAATTATTAAGGTTAATGAAGTCCGCTATTTGTTTACCTCTGTTGTTATCATCTGGACTACCCCAGAGTGAATGATGACCATTGAAATCTCCCATAATAATATACGGAAGGGGGAGTTGTGCAACAAGGTCATCAAGATCTCTGGGATTAAGATGTAAACTTGGTGGAAGATATACAGAGCAGAGTGTTATAGGAATATGCAACGTCACCCTAACTACAACTGCCTGTAAAGGCGAGTTGAGGGTGACTTGGCTCTGAGGGATATCTCCATTAAGAATAATAGAAACACCCCCATGAGCTCTACCATCACCATGATGATGGTAACCAACAAAATGTCTAAAAGACAAAGTGTCAGAATTCTTTAAGAAGGTTTCCTGTAAACAAATAGCTAAAGGATTGTATGTTTGGATTAATAATTGAACTTCATTAAAATTTGGTTTTAAAACACGACAATTCCATTGAATAATGGAATTTACCATTGTCAGGGAAATTTAAGTTTTGGCGGCTTACTGAGTGGGTCCACATGGACATCCACTACAGTAATGTCGTCCATCAGATCATCCCCATATTTATTGAAGAGAGTGATAGGGTTTTTTGAACCCTTTGAATCTTTCTCTCGAAATTTTGATAAATTTTTATGTTTTTTAGAATGCACTATATTCTCCTTTGCGGATGGTATACTCTTAAACTGCACCCCTGACCCAGTGGAACTGGAATCAGCAGCGTCAGCTTTACAGTAGTGCAAGGGAGAAGCCCCCTTGCCATTTTGTGTGGAAGTATTGGGAATAATCTCAATAACTCCAGATGGAGGCAAGGAGTATACAACCTCATCAGGTAGAGGGGTAGTGCTTTGAGTCGAGCTCTCAGTGGAGCTCGAAACCCCTTTTAAATGATCTGATGTAATAGTCAAAGTCTTAGGTTTTTTGTGCTTATAAGGCCAGGTTATATTTGTTTGAACAGATATGGTTTTAGAAGAGGCTTTAACTGCACTTGCAAAAGACTTCCCTTCAGATGGAATGGGAAAACGTGCAGTCAAATCTACCTGTGTTCGAGCATCAAAGTATGGTATTTTTCGCTCTGACATAACCTGTTGGATTCTTTTCTCTTTCTGCCATATTGGACATTCACGGGAATAAGCAAAGTGCTTTCCCTTACAATTTACACAACAAAACTCAGCCTGGCAGGTAGCGCTATCATGGCCTTCATGGCCACAACGAGCGCAGGTGTCTTTACCTCTGCAGACAGTTTTGCTGTGTCCAAACTTTTGGCACTTGTAGCAACGAAGAGGGTTGGATATGTAGGAATCCACAGGTATGTTTAAATAACCTGCCTTGAGAGTCTTTGGTATGTCGGGACGATTGAATGTGAGGATGTAGGTGCTTGTTGGAATCACCTTGTCTCCTCGACGAACACTAATTCTTTTGACGTGTTGTACACCTTGAGAAGAAAGGTATTCTACCATTTCTTCGTCACTGCTGCCTTCAAGGTCCCGGCAACGTATTACACCTCTACTAGAATTTAAAGACCTATGAGGAGACACCTTAATAGGAATGTCTGCCAAAGACGATGATTTAAGGAGCATGGTAGCATGCTGTTCTTTGGCACATTCTATTAAGAGTGTCCCGTTCTTAAGTTTGTTAATAGCCTTGGGCTCACCGGCCAAGCCAGCTATCCCCTTAGCTATTAAAAATGGCGACACTTTCGAAAGGTCTTTAGAGGGACTCTCAATTAAGAGAAACCTCGGCCAAGACTTTGACATTTTACTATTATATTTAAATATATTTGAAACGTCCTCGGAATTAGGACGTTTCTGCTTTTGTCTTTACAAGGATCCTTTTAGTCGCCTTTTACGACACGCAGGACATACGGAGGGTATATTCTTATCACCCCCTACACCCCAGGGGGCAAACGGAACAAACTGGAATACGTAGTTTTATTAAATATATACAATGATTCGCGAATCTGAATCAACATAGATCTATTATTCATCGTCATGTGCTACAAAAACAAAACAAGTATTAATATGTATAAGACTATCGTAATATAACGGTTGCAACGCACACACACTTTACGATATGTCCTTCTTTCATGTACTTCTCTTTTAAAATGTATTAGACATTGATTTGCAATGGTATTATTTCTTAACAGCACGGGATGAGGAATACCTTGTGCAGGCTGCAAAAACAAGAAACAGAGAAAACGAAGGTAAAGTTATGATTTGTTTAAAAAAACAACCCAAAAATGGAAGACGTAGTTTAATCAAATTAAATCTGAATCAGCTTAGATCATCATTTTAGGGGTTTCTTGGTGGTCTTTCTATTTTTGTATTTGTAAACATAGTTGATACAGATAACTGTATGGTGATGCATACACTGAAACGGGAAGTAGCCACACTTTCTGTTTTTTTTTGTGATTTTCTCTTATGCTAAAACATTAATTATATTATCAAAATCATATACGAAGGTCAAACAAATGGCTGCAACTTTGTATTGTTTGTTTTATATTTATATGTATTATTTTTAGGTGACTTGTTAAATGTCTCACTTATTGTTAATTATTCTTATATAACATATACCTTGAACATTTTACAGATGCTGTTAGAAGACGGGATGTGTGATCAATCCGATGTTCTATTGTAGATCCATACTCCATAAATATCACAGTGAATAACATATTAGTGTTTATTTAACATTAAATAACATATTATTGCTTAGTAAGATTCTACACGCCATGAATTACAAATTGGTTTTTATTGTTTGTTTTATATTAAATCTTACAATCTGTATGTACCATTATTTGTAGAACGTTTGTTTTTTTTATGAATATTTTAAGCTACATATATTCTTCTTCAATTCTTGACTCACTTATATCTTACTACAATTCCTTTAATTAAAAGTACTACATATAGTACATTTGTACATAGCAGTACTACATTCGTATTTAGATTCGCGTCATATAAAACGTTAGTCTTTTATATGTCTATTTAATTAAGAGTAAGTAAGATAAAGGATGACAGGCCATATAATTATTTGATCGTGATGTCCGTTTGTATTTAATTGTCATTTAATTCAAATATATTTTGTGTAAATAGAGTAAACTAATTCAATGACACCTTTGTATTTATTTATATTTTAAATGAATGGTACGGAGCATCGTTTTACTGGCTGTCTAAAGGCAAGTATTGGGCCGTGTCAGTTTATCACAAATATAATTTAGATGGTTAAACAAGTAATCGAATTCTGGCCAAGAAAATATATCTTATAATATTATGTGAGTAGATGTCAACTTGACACAAGTTTTCTTAACAAAATCCTGTAATAATTTTATAACCTGATATTGAACAATCTGATATGAATAGTTTTGTAACTGATAAAGAAAAGACATTGTATGATGATTAATAAAAAGTTTTGAACCTAAAGGCCCAACGGACAAAAGAAGATCTCGTGATATTTGTTCAGTTTTGTCATGTTACTTCAAATGTAATTGATATAAAGCCCTATAAAATATGCCAAATCAATTGTTCCTCGACTCATTGCTAAATCGAAATCTACATACTCCTGTGGTAAAATATAGTACAGTTAAAATAGCCTAAAAACTTTACGGAGTCGCTAATCTTAAATCGTATCGTAAATAATGTCCCCATTATACAGATAGCACTTTCATTTAAGATATAGAACGTTTGTTTTGTTTAATCTGAACTCATTCAGATCCCAACATGGCAAAACCAACCCACCATTTTCAATGTGGAATGAAATGGGGTTTAACGTCCTACTGTTCTGCTCCTAATTCAATGTGAAAGTTGGAGATTCAATTGGTTGGACAAATGAAATGAAAATGAAATGAAATGTGGTTTAACGTCCCACTGTTCTGCTCCTAAACTGAGCTAATGAAGACGGGCATACGCCATACAGTGTGCTATGAGGGAAATTTTGCCCGGGCAGCGGCACTACGGCCTACTCTTATATCGAGATCCATCTGCCAAGGGGTCTTTTACGTGCACGCCAATGTGTACACGGGGCCTTGGTTTTTCGTCCCATCCGAACGACTAGACAACTGTCCTTGTCAGGCCCTCCGTTCTGCATCACTGACAAGGGGGAACCACGCCGGAAAATCTGGATGAACTTTCTCGGCCAATGCAGGATCGAACATTCGATCTCCACAAATGGGTTGGACAGCAATAACACACGTTAGGTGGCCGTGGAGACCATTGTACGTTGGTTTATTTGTTTTCGGTAGAATAGGTATTGCGTTGACCTCATTCCCTAGATGTAGAATGATTCTATTCTTCACACTGGGAACTAACCGGGGATATCTTGCTCAGTTAATTTTATAGTTATACATTCATAACATGCTACTCTTCGTAACAACAAGACATACCTCTGGACAGAGAGTATAATCACAACATTTTCAAGCGCATAATTTATTTCGGTACCAAAGCCACGGTGGCTCATTGATTAAGACTTGGGGTCGCTTACACAGAGGTCCCGTGCTCAATTCCTACATTGGCCGAGAAAGTTCATTGTGATTTTCTGGCGAGGTTCCTCTTGTCAGTGGTGCAGGACAGATGGCATTGGCGTACACTGCATGGCGTATATCTGTCTTTATTATCCCAGTTGGCACAGAACAGTAGGACGTTAAACCACACATCATTCCTGTTTGTTTTTATCCCGTTACTAAATGTCTTTAAATCTTTAGTAACTCACTCATCATGGTGAACTCAATATCGCCAAAAGCAAGGAACTGTGACGGGAAGCATTTCAGCAAGTAGTTAGCATTCCTATGGTTACCATTTGCGCCCCTCTATATTCATACGACGTACTTTCTCTCGCACGCGGGCTGATTTACCCATTCACTCTATATTATTGCCAAATTTTGTAGTCAATTAGGCTATAGCAAATTGACATTAAGGAATATGTCCATGATGGCAACACCCAAATATACCGAGGTGATTTAATTTCCCAATTATTAATTCCCGCATCATTGATGAAAACCTCGTGAACGAGACAGCGATTAAAGTTTTTAACATATCTTTGTCCAATTTGAGGGTTCGGAAGATTGGGGTCATGAGTAGAAGGAGTCTTGTCCCGTTTCCTGAGTTAATACCATTCTAATATCAAAATATGTTGCTGGTTTCGAAGAAATGTAAATTACACAGACTAAACAAGGTTCATGTTTATTTACAATCTAATTTTACTGCCAGCCACTCTAAAGAATGGATATATATTTTATCTGGCATGCCGTATTCGATACGTTGACATTAAATTCATCTACATGTGTATAATATTACACAACTGTTTGCAGAACTGTGAATCCGCAAGTCAGTGACAGATAACTTTATTGGTGAATTAGGTCTCTTGGTCGAACAATGTTACTACAGATAAAACGAGGCACATTTTTTTTTATCTCAAATTGGTATACGAAGCTTGGAAATCGAAAAGAAGTATGCCCATTACATTTTGGGGTTAACGCAAAAAAAACCCATCCAGACTTAAAAAAGATATGACAGGTCCCAACTCATAAATGTAAAGGGGAAAACTAACGAGATTCAGGTTTTAATAAAAAAAATAATTTCTCGCTTACAAACACTGATTTCTTTGTTTTACAAAGGGGTTTATTTCTGAATATATTTCTGAATAATATTTATGAAATCCTTGTAACACAAATGCCGTTCAATCATTTCGTCAACATATATTATATAGGCCTATACTGTTCCTCAATAAAAACAAATTAAAATGTGGTATTCTACAAAATGTTTATGTAAAGTGAATAACAACTAAAAAGTTATTTAAGTTATTTAAAAAGCTGTATCAATGGCATGGACGATTCAAGGAATAAAGTTGATACAATAATGTACATTAAGATACATATATTCGAATATCGTCACTATTTATTATACAATAAATACATATGGGTTAATTGATTAGTCCAATAGATGAGATTCCATGTTTATCGTTTCCAGCAATGTGCATACACATATAGGACTTATATCCAATAGAGGATTCTGCATCTTTTCCGATTATCAAAACGCATCCTCCACTGAAGCCAGCCCGTACGCTTGCATTATGTTTTAGAAATACTACCTTCTTAAGTGGCACAACACCAGTTGGTGTATTTATTTGTTCACATGGTATTAAGCAATCGTTGATATGAGAATCAACTATTGGCTCGCCAAAGATTATTTCTTTTTCCTCTGGAAAGGAAATAACAACTACCTGTTGCTGATCCTTTGGTTCCCATGGAAGCCCTTTGTAGAAATAGTTTTTGGCTTCAATCGGAACAAATTGTTGATCAAAGGAAAGACAACTACAATGCTTACAACATTGTTCTATTCCGGTGCAACGTGTTTCTTTTTTATTGTTAAAAACAATATCGCATTCGGTGCCTTGTGCGATAAATTGCGCAGAATGAATAATAAATATGGAACTGTGAGATGGTGGATCACTGGATTCTGTTTGATGAAACTCGAGTAGACCTTTTATCCACGTCACATTTCCATGTATTCTAATGTTTACTACCAACCAGCCGAAATCCTCCATATCTTTTTCTTTAATGAATTTTGGAACTTCAGTTACAGCAAAAATCGCTTTTTCATGTGACTCACAATTCGCAACCAATTTTGTTCCCTTTTTGTAGATACGATATATATTGCCAGATCTATTTTTATACACAACATCAACCCTGTCGCAGGCACGAGATTTATAATTACACGTTTCACATTGTGTTCCTCCCAACACAAAACCTTGGTCATGTTCAGGGCACGTTTCAATGATAACATGTGCACATGTTTGTAAATAGAATTCATCATTAGCCTTAAATATAATACCGCTTCCAGTTGCTGACGGGCCCATAACTCGAACTACTCTGTCTGCAATGTTCTTAATAATGGTTACAACTTCTGGCGTACGGTAATCTGGTAACAGATCGTTTTTTTTTAACATTGTTCTACAACAGAATACACACAACTTGTTATTTAAATAATTTGATGATATAACGAATTTTATCGCTGTTTAGATTGTGTGAAAAATAGATCCATTTTAATGTTAATATTATGATATATATTGTACTGCGAACAATGACGGCCTCGTTACGCCTGCTCAAAAGGATTTTTCAGGTAAATAATCGGCCTTAAGTTGGATTTGGGGTTCAACGGAATATATTTGCTTATAAAGTCCACAATTTGTAAAGAAAGTATTTTGGTAACCTCGAAACTATTTTTGGGTTGTGGGACAATTTCGGATATATACCATAAACATAGAAGTACTTGTACATTATTTTCCAGCTCGACGTATAAGTTGGGGCACATGCAAAAATTCGTGACCGTTTCTCGCTGAATAAGGTTTGCTGATGGTTGCTGATGGAAGGGATGCTACTGAAGATATTTGTAGTTTGCTACCTTTGACGTCTACTGGCTAAATTCCATGAGAGCAGAAAGTCCAAGATGGAAATTGAACTTGACCAACACTGTTGCTGAAATGACCCGTGTAATTTATCATTTTATAGGTTTTGTTGGTCAGCGGGTTCATTTAAACAGTTTCTGATTCATCTCGAAAACGGTTGATCCAATATGGCGGCCAAACTCCAAAATGGTGGAAGTAAAATAAATTGACGCGAAGAGTATTCTTTTAATACCATTAGCAACATTCGCGTGTAATATGTCGTTTCAGGTGTTGCGGGGAACGAGAAATACGAATAAGCCTCCTCGAAGCTTGAAAGAATACCTTTCACGCCTATTATTGCTGTCACCATTGTGGATTTTAGATCAACCGTTTGTGGGATGAATTGATAATTATCACAAATGTGCTCGACATCCAAAAATACTTGTAAAATGAATATTACACTGGCCATTTTGTCCACTTTGTTTGTCAAACTTTATTTCAGACCACTTTTTATGGATTTTCGATTTTCATATTAGCCGTCGTTTTGAGTGGCAGTGATACAATATAGGAGAATAATATCTAAAGGACACCATGCCACCTTTGACACATGAAATTAATTAAATATCCTTATCATGCCAGCTGTCACGTATGACAGTTAGTTGGTTCATGTAATGTCCTTTGTCTTGTAAAGTAATTTGAACAGAAAGCTACGGTATAACGTAACAGCCAACTGTGTACAATCATCTTGACATCTAACAAGGACAAATGAGAGATTAAGAACTTAGTGAGGGAGGTCAGCAGGCTAAGGCCAGACGGTGTCCAGCCGAGCTAGGACCAGGGCTCTCTCAACACAAGTTAATCATAATTATTTTTTGTACTTTATATGCATACCCGATTAAAAGTATTATAAGAAGTTAAACCAGTGTTGTCATCAAGAACCAATGCAGTAACAATCGCAAATTACAAATATCTTTACATGGTCCCATCTATCTGAAACCATCGCCAAACTTTACTCCCAGAAACAATGATCACGCATCGAGGTTTTTTTTTTATCCCGACTATAACCCATATTGTGAATCGATTCATTCAAACATTCTATAATAGTTATAAAAAACAATGCTGAAAAATTACTATACTGAAAATTGCAGTCAATTTACTTTATTCCGAGCGCGAAGTAATGCATGTTTGAAGTTTGACTAGATATTTGCCATATACCGTTTCCGACGATTCTCGAGATGGATAACATTATGGGGTTTCGGACTGCGGATGCAATTAAAATCGTATTGCTTTTAATCCAGATGACACATTTAATATACAAGAATAGAAAGCTGTATATAA